TCTCCCAAACCGGCCCATGCTGAGGCACTCCACCTCCTGCCACCGCGGTGAAGTGAGGCAAAATTGGCTGGCCTAGGAGATGGTAGCAGAGCAGAGCCTGGTGCACTGCTCCACTTCCCCACAGCTCCCACCACCGCAGTTATCCCTGAGGCTAAGTCCCTTGGGGGAAGGAGCTTGAAGGAAAAGTTGCTATGGGAGAAGAGGGTTTAGCAAGGTGGAGCAGAGGCTGGACGCCCCCCCCGCCACAGGCTGCAGGGACTAATATGCCAGCAACCATTTGCAGGCTGGATTGTGGAACTGCTTGGGCTGCAGATGGCCCCCAGGATGCAAGTTTGAGACCCCTGGCTTAAATAGTTAAAAAAAAAAAAAAAAAAAAAACACCACAAACTTTTACTGTCTCAAAAATTCAGAAGAAAAACTATCTAGACTCAGTTGTGTATGATTTGGCCATATATACCTATTCCTACCTCAGTGGAGATGGCTGAACTAAGTGACCTATCGAGACCCCTCCTTTCCTACGTTTCTATGATTCTGTATTTATGCTGAGCCATTAAAAATATTTGCAGCTGTATTCAAAAAGAAGGTAAAAATCATTAAGACGCTGCAAATTTGAATTATCCTATTACTGACAAGCTGTAAGACACTGCAACAGATTAATTTTGTGTTGTCATAGTTTAAGACCACCACATATATAAGCAAAGCTTTTTCTCTAGGGCTGTGTCCAGACTCCAGGGTTTTTTTTGAAAAAAGTAGCCTTTTTTCGAAAAAACTTCACAAGGAAGAATGCCTTTTTTCGAAAGTGCTCTTTCGAAAAAAGGCGTTCTTGAATGCAAACAGGGCTTTTTTGAAAGAGATCATCCAGACTACCTGGGTGCTCTTTCGAAAAAGCGGCTTGCTTTTTCAAAAGTACTGCTTGCAGTCTAGACGCTCTTTTTCAAAAGAGGCTTGCAGTCTAGAGATAGCCTAGGAGTCTACCACTCTTGTGCTTTGGGATTCAAAGTACAATGGCACCTGTAAGGTAGGACTATGTGATCTCTACATTTTGCAGCATCAAATAATACATTGTTGGAAAGATGTGATACTGCGCATAAAGGCCCCTGGCTTCTGAACCTCTCTGTTTGCACAAGATTCTTTCCTTTTTGATATGAAGATTTCTGGGCCAGGTCAGGACCCAAAATTAAACTTGAAGCCACTGGCCTATGAATGTTAGGGTAACTCTATAGTAGATGCAGTTTGCATGAGTAATTTCAAAGGTACCTTTTCAAAGTATGGCTGTTTGTTTGAAACTCTACTATCTGTGGAGTTTTATCCCCCTGAATAGGGATAAAATGGTGGCAACTCCTACCTTGAATCTCATTCTCTATTCACTGCCGTTTGTCATTTTACCACTTTTCTTTTGATTTCCTCAGAAAAAATTTCAGCGGTCTTAACCATAATCAAGGATGGAAGCTGATCCAAATTTAGCAAGCAAAAGTTCCATCTCTCGACCAGTATTGGAAGTCATACTAACTAGCTAGGCATCAAATGCACTTCTCTCCAAAACTAGTATCAGGCAAACACCACATTGGAATGGGCTCAGATGAGCGTAACTATCTCAGCAAGTCAAGTGACACCAGCGAAGGCAGAGCAGGGAAGCAGCAAAGAGGAGACTGTGCTTGGTTATGTAAGCAACCAAGAGCCAGCCAAATTATTTATTTTTCATTGAGTTCTGAATACAAGTGAGGATCTGCCAAGAAGAGATGGGGGACCCTAAAAAAGTCCCATCACTTACTCCCAAGAATCTTCTCGAATGTATGAATAATTGTGACTTTTTTAAACAATAATTGTATAGGTCTTTAAATGGCAAATGAGATGCCAACTTTATGTATATTTTTGAGAGTTCGTGTGGGTCTGCCTGTGAGTGCGTCTGTACAAAAATTCCTCCTAAATGTTAAGAGCTAGGATCACCAAATTTGCTATGCAGCTTCCTCTTATCATAACTTAAAGCAAGGTCAGGGTTTGTTTGTTCCAGGACAATGGGATGTGCCTTAAATGAGATTGTTTTATGAAAAACAGGCAGTGATACTATATAATGACCACTGGGTATCAGCAAGGAGCCAGAGATGGGGCCCGGGACAGCTATAACCCCATTAGGGCAGTAGGGGGCAGGGCTGGAGAAAGGGACAGCCATCTCTATATATTTGTCTATGTGTTTGTCTGCTCATCAGACATGCTGCTTTGCCTGCTGCAGCTGCCAGAGATAGGAGCCTCTCATTGGGCCCCAAGCTGCAGCAGTGAGAGAGAGAGAGCTGGGGTTGTCCCGTCTACCCAGGACAGCCTGCATACTGAACCCCTCAACCCCAGTCCCACCCCAGAGCAATGATTTAAATAAAGAAAAACAAAAATTACTTCAGTTACAGAACCGAGCAACACCAGGTAAATCCTCTAGAGAGTGTGTATGCATGCTGTGTTCTTAT